GGTCTATTTCCATGCTGTACAGCTCTACAACCAATCACTCTAAATAAAAAGAGAGGCTGAGACATTTATGGACAGAGTTCCAGTACTCGGGGCCCAGGCAGCTGGAGGCATGGCCATCATTGGGAAGGCTCTTAACATTGAGGATACTCAAGTGGCTAGAATCGAGAACTGCAGATGTCTCAGTGAGCTATGGAGTTGGAAGTGATTACTGAGATGCTGAGTGATTGGGGATTTGCAAACAAAGTGAGAATTTTAAAATGGCGGTGGTGGAGCCAAATTAGATCAGCCAGCATACAGGCGATGGACGAATGGACTTGATCCAAATAAGGACACAGTCTGCAAGGTTTTCAATGACCTTGAGTTAATAGATGGTAGTTGTAGGAGGTCAGCCTAGAACGTGCTGGAATAGGCAAATCACAGGGTAACAAGTGTGGGTTTTAACGGCAGATAAACTGAGGGAAGGGCCAAGTCAAGAGGTTAAGGGGCTTGACAAAGAAACTCTTGGTGATTTTATAAAAATTCATTCCCAGGATGAGGGCATTGCTGGCTAGGCCCAAGTAGGTGTAGGGAGGATGTTTCCCCTTGCGGGACAATCGGGAATGATAGGTCATAGTCTTAGGATCAGGGATGAGCAGCTTTATAACAGATGTACTTCTCTGCAAGGTCATGAATCTGTGGAATTCACCATCCCAGATTGCAGTGGACGCCAGGACACTGAATAAATTTAAGGAGGAGATAGATTTTAAATTAGTAATGGGCTAAAGAGTTATGGAGAGCAGTTAAGAAAGTGGAGTTGAGGCCGAGGTGAGATCAGCCATGATCATATTGAGTGACGGACCAGGCTCGAGGGGCTGAATGGCCGCCTCCTGGTCCTAGTTTTTACATTCTTCTGTCTGCTTGCAGGAATGCTGGATAGTGTTTGTGGTGCTGGGCTGGACTCGATTAGAATGTACCCACAGCAGAATGCCTTCCAAAAGTTAATATTTATTTGCTTCTAGGATCTGAAGGGGGGTCATGCTGGACCCGAAAGCTTTACTGTGTTTCTCTCTCTCTCCACAGATGCCAGAACTGCTGGGTTTCTACTGTACTTTCTGTTTTTAATTAAGGAGACAAGTAGGACAGTCGGCCAAGCACTTGGTCAAAGAGATATGACTTAAAGTGTGACTACAAGAAGCAGACAGTGATAGAGGGATTTGGGGATAAATTTCCAGAGGTAAGGGTAACAGCAGCTGATCCCATTTACGGTTGTGTGGGTGGAGTCAAGGGAATAGCTAATGCCCAAAAGACCAGAGATGGAAGGGTAGGAATTCCTAGGCATGTTACTAAGATACTGAAGGGAGAGACCATGCGAGAATGTTCAGCCTGAGATAAGAATTTTAAAATATTAAAGTGTTGCTTGCCTGGGAATCAATGAGAGTCGTTGAACTGTGAGCTAGGATACAGCAGACCACAGATGTTTAGAATAAGCTTCAGTTCATCAAGGATGAAGGATAATCTGGTAATTTATGTAATTTAGAAGTAGTGATGCTTGCACTGGTCAAATTGATGAAAAGCAAGGGGTGCATTTTGGAGGAACAGGTACAGAACAAAAGCCACAAAATGACTGGAATATTCTAGAGTAAAAATGTTATTTTGTTTACTCTGACCAAAGTATGTGTGAGTTGCACACTGCTACCACTTCTGGAACATGAAACAACTTAATTTAATTGATCCTTGACTCAGCATGTTCCATCTGGCACTGCCACCAGATGGGTCTGTCAATTATACTCAGGATGTTCCTCTTTAGCAATTGCGTTTTGGTTCCAGGTGCTCACTGGATGCTCTATGTTGTTCATGCCATGTGGTTATTCAATTTCACCATCTTTCACATCACAACTGCTTTACCTTCAGGGCATCACCTGCGTGCAATGACTTCCTGCTTCTGAGAGACCTTCATTCCAAATCCACCCCCACCCCCCCCACCCCGGCCACCCCATTTAAAAGTGACAGCAAACAAACCAAGGCAGAATCAGATGCCATTTTTCAACCTTCCCTCCATCATAAGGTCAGAAGTGGGATGTTTGCCAAAGTTTGCACAATGTTCAGCACCATTTGTGATTCCTCAGATACTGAAGCAGTCCGTGTTCAAATGCAACAAGATCTGGACAATATCCAGGCTTGGGCTGACAAGTTGCAAGTGACATTCGTGCCACGCAAATGCCAAGCTATGACCATATCCAATAAGAGACAATCTAACCACCGCCCCTTGATATTCAACGCTGTTACCATCACTGAACCCTCCCCCACCCCCATCAACATCCTGGGGGTTACCATTGACCAGAAACTCAACTGATATCGCCACATAAACATATAAGAGCAGGTCAGAGGCTAGGAATACTGCAGCAAGTAACTCCTGACTCCTCAAAGCCTGTCCCACCATCTACAAGTCAGGATTGTGATGGAATTCTCCCCACTTGACTGAGTGAGTGCAGCCCCAACAACACTCAAGAAGCTTGACACCGTCCAGGACAAAGTATCCCACTTGATTGGTACCATATCTACAAGCATCCACTCCCTCCACTACCGATGCTCAGTAGCAGCAGTGTGTACTATCCGCAAGATGCAGAAATTCACCAAAGATCCTCAGACAGCACCTTCCAAACCCACGACCACTCCCATCTAGAAAGACAAAGGCAGCGCATGGGAACACCGCCCCCTTCAAGTTCCCCTTAAGCCACTCGCCATCCTGACTTGGAAATATATCGCCGTTCCTTCAGTGTCGCTGGGTCAAAATCCTGGAATTCCCTCCCTTAGGGC